TCTTTATCTTTTTTCTATTTTGGTAAGTTAGTAGATTTTTACCTTGTGAATCTTGTTCCAATTAGGGAGCTTAATAATCTGTGGTCAACTTATAAAATTCATAGCTGCCAACTCTACTGGATTTTCCAGTAGACTACTGGATTTTTCCAGTTTCTCCTGGTCTACTGGTTTTATAAAAATTCTCCTGGTTTTTGTACATTTTAGAAAACTCCCTAAAATTGAGTCAGTTTCATAAAAATCCCTATTGAGATAGAATTTTTATATAGAGATTATGGCTTGAATATTTAAATAAGTATTACTAATATATGATGAAGCGAGCCTCATTTACAAAAATAGTTTAAAAATAGTCAAAAATCAGTTTAAAACCTTTTCCCTTTTGTTCTAAAATTTTTATTTTTATTCCCTTTTTAAATAAATTTAAAAATCTTAATTTTTTTTATAAATTAAATGCCTATTACTCTTCAAAATTACGAATAAACATAATGCACAAAATTTCAAGCATATTTAATGCCAATCAAGACAGGAAAATATTGCAGTTTTCCTTTTTTGGTGTCTATAAAAATCCGTAATATTCCCTATGTGTAAAACTTTTTATTAACTTAAATAACAATTATCATGAAATTAATTGTCGCAAAAGCTACTGGATTTTTTGCTATCTATGTTGGCAGCTATGAAATAGCGATGCGTTATATTTAAATTGTTATGTTCGATTTTTAAATTTCGTAAATAGAAAACGTGATGCGTGGTTTTCAAATCACGCGTATTCGAACCGAGATGTGTGATTTTTAAATTGCGAGAAGTCTCACAACGTACGATTTTTAAAATGCGTAAATATGAATCGTGACCTGTGATTTTTAAATCGCGTGAATATGAATCGCGACTTGTGATTTTTAAATCGCGTGAATATGAATCGCGGTGTACGATTTTTGAATTGCGTGAAGAGTTAGAGTGTAGGATTTTTTAAAAGCCAAAACACTATCATGATATGTGATTTTTAATCTCGTGAATACGAATTACGATGGATGATTTTTAAATCTCATTAATGTTAATGCGATGTGCAATTTTAAGATCACTAAATACGAATTACGATATGTCACATTTAAATTGCGAGAAGAATCAAAAAGTATGATTTTTAAAATGCGTAAATATGAATCACGATATGTGATTTTTAAATTATGTGACAAAAAGAATAGGTTGGGCGTGTGTTGTAAAATTTGCGCATGTTCATGGAACTAAAATAATAGGCATGTGTTTCGAATTATTTTATTGCAAAAGGGACCGAGTTTAATATAAATCTAAACATCTCGTTTTTTTTTTTATTCTCTTCGGGAAGGTGTCGATTTTGCTGAGATACGTAATTACTTTTTTTTCTTAAATAGAATCGAGTTTCACAAGTTGTAATATTGTGTTAAAATATCAGGATATTTAAAATCAAGTAAAAATGCAGCAATAACGGGAAAGAAAAAATAAATCACGTTCGAAAAACCTTTTCGTATTTATGTTAAAATTATCACAAACAGAGCACGCAAAAAGTAATTAATTATTTTAATGCATGATTAATGCAAACGGCACAAACAGAGCAAGTGAAAAATAATTATTTTAAGGCGCGATTCAAAACTCGCGTGCTGTCAAATTATAGTATAAAAAATATTAGAATTTTTTTTAAATCGCCGGGAAAAGCGTAGTAATAAGTACCAAAAAAACAATACCTTTATATTTACAATGAAATTGGTGTAAATAAAATTCGTCAAAATGTGAGGTATTTAAATGCGGGATTCGAAATTAAAGTGTCGCAATAGCGTATAAAAATATCAGGACATTCAAAACATTATAGAGATCTGTAGCAATAATTACCAAAATAACGATAGAAAAATGATTTGACTTGCAATAAAATCGGCAAAAAAAGAAAAAAAAAAAAATCGCGTCAAAAAATGGTTATCTAAATGAGTGATTCTTTACTCATAATTCGTAATTATATCGTGCTCAAGTACCGAAATTTTAAAAACCACGAGAAAATGTCTACTACGAGAATGCCACACAATAAGTGCCGAAAAAAAGGATCAAAAGTCATTTAGATTTGATATAAAGTTAGCGTAAATAAAGAGTTTCATAACTTACATAAATCGCGATTTCGAAAACTACACGAAGAGCGTCAAAAGTGCTAACTTAACTTCGAAACTTGTATCGTAATAATGAAGTATTAAAGATATTGAGATTTTCAAAACTATGCGTAAATCCGTAGAATTATCCAATGAAAAATAGCAATTGAGATTGGGTGCGTCAAAAACTTACACTTCAGTTTTCCGGATAAATTTTTTTTTTCAAAAAAAAAAAAAAATAATAATTTGAATTACTTTTTAAAAATTTTCTTCAGATTGCGTCCGCTGGCCGCAGGTTGTGCACCCCTAGTATGTACAATAACAAACATGAATAGAGGTATTCCATTTAAGTAAAATAAAAAACCGTAATTATAATGCATTTCTAATGATAGAGTCTTAATAAAATAGGGTTAAGAATTTAAAAAGTGGTAGCAAAACTAAGGAAATAAAATGTATTTCAATAAGATTGTTCTCACCACAATGACCTTATAAATCTAAACAGGAAATCTCGATCGTAGAAGTTTTGCGAAGCAAAAGCCAATCTAAACAAATATATAGCTTTTTCATTAGAAAATTAATACCACATTTTAAAATCCCTCTAAGGACCACACGAAGCCTGTTAAAATATAGCATCGATGAGAAAATTATTTCATTTATTTAATATTGTTTGGTTGACACGAGGTATTTCAATTATCGGTGCGCGTTTGCAATTTAAGTTATTATGTTTAGTTCTAAAATTGGAAAAGGTGTGATTTTTGTACTAAAGTTCTCTCGAGTTACGTATTTTGTTACCTTAACCTTTTGAGGAATGGAAAATATAGTTCGCTAATTTTAGTTAGGCAACACTAAGGCTGCCATCTTAAAACGTTTTTTGGGAAAAATTATTATAATGGTAGCAAAGATTTTGCTTCAATACAGATTCTTTGTTGCCGAAACGCCTGTGTAGGGGTCAGAGAACTGGCCTTGCATCAGAAAGGTCTGGGTTCGAGTCCTTGGCAAGGCATGAATGTTCTTTCATTCTCTGTACAATAAGTTTTGTTTATTTGGAAAGTAGTCCAGGGTGCGTGGATATATATCGATGGGGAAGACAAGAAAAACTCACAATGAGGGTTGTTAGAATTTATATTGAGTAAAAATTTAAGAAGATAGGCAAAAAATTAAAAAGTCATAAGGCTTAGGAAACATGATTATTTAAAAGGGAGAGGGAATTCCCCTCAGGAGATGGATTTTTTTAAATAAATTTTAAACCTTCTATTAATTACTATCTCTGTTGAAATCCTAGGAGATTCCAATTCTACAACCAATCAATGTTAGGAAATTGATTTAAAGTGAATTTTTGATGTATTGGATTTTCTTATTTAGCTTTTCCATTATGGGGCCCAAGGGGCACAGTCAGTTTTTGGTTTAACCACTGACTACAGAAAAGCTCCAATGTGTTAGCAGACAGTGTGTCTCCTGATGAAGTGCTGTTTTTACCAGCATAGCATACATACCTAGGTTGTATTAGAAAATATCAAAACTGTGGCAACTGTCTTAATGTGGAACTGACACCATATCATGTTTTTAACTGCCCTGCAGTCGCTGCAGGCCTTCACCTCTTAAACTACCCCACAGAAGAGGATTTGTATTCTTCTAATGCCATAGAAATAACAAAAACTATTCAAGTACACCATGAAATATGATTCAATAGAGGATATGACACCAACCATACATATCTTTAAAATTTCGTTTTGCTTTTTAACTTTTTTATTTTAATTCTATAGTCATTATTCCCATACAATCAATTCTTTGATTTACTAGCCCACGGACACAATGCAGCTTTAGAATTGGTGGAAAATTTTCTTTGGTTTTCAAATATATGCCATCAGAAATTTTCTATCTTAAACCAAAACAATTTATGTTAAATACTGGATTTTTCCGCAAAAAAAATATTTATCAGTAAAAATTTTGGTCACAAAATGCGGATCCACTAAGTACTAAAAAAAAAAATTTCAAAAAGTATAAACTTCAGCCAATTTGTGAACTTAGTTGACTTCTAACTCTCTAGGACAAAAATGTTCTTAAATCTTAACATATGTCTCCAATTTCTCTGAAAAACAACTTTTTTATATGCAGTGAAGTGAAAAAAAAAAAGGTTAGGTAGGTATTTTATTAAATTCGCACTAGTTGTTGTAGTTCACTTACGTCGCACTAGAGCTGCACAATGGGCTATTGGCGACGGTCTGGGAAACATCCCTGAGGATGATCCGAAGACATGCCATCACAATTTTGATCCTCTGCAGAGGGGATGGCANGTGAACTTAGTTGACTTCTAACTCTCTAGGACAAAAATGTTCTTAAATCTTAACATATGTCTCCAATTTCTCTGAAAAACAACTTTTTTATATGCAGTGAAGTGAAAAAAAAAGGTTAGGTAGGTATTTTATTTAATTCGCACTAGTTGTTGTAGTTCACTTACGTCGCACTAGAGCATCACAATGGGCTATTGGCGACGGTCTGGGAAATATCTCCAAGGATGATCCAAAGACATGCCATCACAATTTTGATCCTCCGTAGAGGGGATGGCACCCCCGCTTCGGTAGCCCGAAGAAATGAAGAAACATTTTATATTTTAATCAAATATGACTGTGAGTGGGGATTTTGTTACAAATTCAGATATTCAGAACACCATGAAATTGGGGGGTGGGTAAATTCCCTTTTAAAAAAAATAGTTAAAATCATGACAAATTTTGTAGTTCAAAATTGAAATTCATGACACTCCATGTGTGCAGATACCCTGTATATAGAAATAAATTTTCATTGATCCATAGCAAAAACAAAAGGCATAACAACTATAGAAACCAATATAATTTCATGATATAAACATTAACTTCTGCATGCATGATAGAAAAATTAGGATAGTTTTTCTTTCATAAATACTTTATTGAATACACATTATATATGTATATATCACATTCAAAAGTAATGTAATTCAAGTCTCCCTCTACAAGTTTTTAAAACTTCCAATAAATTTAAGGAATATTATAAATTTTCTAAAATTAATAATTTACAAACATTCATGAAGATGGGTTGAATAAAAATCAATCATTTTCTACTAACAAGTCAATAATAACAGAGCAACAAGATATAAAACTTTTAATACACTAAAACATATTCAGATAAATAATTTTGATTTATTTGAACGAGATCAATAAAAATAGATATAAAATAATCATTATTGATTTAAATGCTTGTGGAAATAAAGATGAGAAATCAGAACTTTTAACACAATAAAATGTATTTAATTTTTCAAGTAACTGATTATTGCTTAATTAAGAAAAATTGCACTTTTGAAAAGACTAAAAATTATGTATTTGCTTGAATCGAAAGGGTCTTCAAACACAACAATGAAAATATATTCAATATAAAATGATGTACTACAAATTAAAAAAAAAGAGCTTATATAAAAAAAAAGATATCTAAAAACCAAAGACCCGGACTTTTTCCAATATTTTTCCTGGAGTTGGAGCTTTAAATTTTTCCATGCTCATAGTTTTTTTAAGATCTTAAATTTTTTCAGGCACTGAAAGATTTTTGTGCTTCTGAATGATTCTACAAATAAAGAAATCTTTCGTGCCTCGCTGATACATTTTGTTTCAAATTGGGTCATGCGGTATTTATTTTAATTTTAACCTTTAACAATTATGTCCTAGTAATATCCAGGGGTAATTGTGCGCCCAACTAAAAAATCCTGAAAAATTCTTTAGTAAAATTATTAATGACACGTTCAAAAAAAATTTATGTCTTTATTACTTTAAATCATTGATATTTTCACAACACGAAATTCAAAATAAATCATATGCAGAATAATTTAAATTAATAATTTTGTATAAGTTTACTTTCATCTCTAAACACATTATTCTACCAGAAAAAAATATTTACAAATGAAAGCGATGCCAAGCATAAATTCAAGTGCTAATATTTTTAAATAAAATATACAAGAATTTAATACATAAATGTGATCAATGATTTCTTGAAACTTCTGGACCTTGGATCCTGAATATCTAACATTTGCCTTCATAATTAAACTACTATATTCCTTTCAACAATAAATAATGCTCTTTTTTAATAATAAAAGTTTCAAATTAAAATCTGGAACTAAAAAGCGCCCGTAAATATGTAGTAAATTTAGCAGAATCTTAGCGGAAATCAAGTTGGACCTTTAGAGATGGAGTAGCAAAGATGTTTCAGCACCGGGCCCCTGCCAAAAAACACTTACTCTAGTAATAAGTTTTTTTGCCAAACTTAACTACAGAGTGACCAATAATTTTAAAAAAAAATACTGATTCTATACAAAAGATCATAAAATGCTATGTGTAAATGCATAAAAGCACCCAAATGGCAACACGTATCTGGACGATAATTTGTAAAAAGGGGGGGGGGGAAGATTTACATAAATGTAATTTAATTAAAATATGAAATCAGATGCATATCAATCTGCATTTGCAAATTTCTTCCACAGTGAAAAAAACCAGCCTGGGAAGAAATCTGTTTCTTTCAAACTACGTGAAAGAAATTAAACTTTTTCAAAATTAACTATCTGATTGAGTTTATAATCAAATTAAATATTTGCATCAACTTTTAAGCTATTTAACATATTTTATAATAAACTAAAAAATAACAGTAGGAACAAAAAAATTTAATGAATTTTATAAAAAATTAAAATAACTATAATTTCATGAGCATAGTAAAACCTAAAAGAACTGTAAACATAAAGTAATAAAAATTTTATTAATACTACCAGGTCAACAAATCACTTACTAAACGCAAACACTACCAAAAAGAAAAAAAGATTTCTAATTTAAATTTAATACATCTAACAGTGGCATAAATAACACCCATGCCACACGTCAATAATCTTACAGAGCAGCTAGGGGTGCGTAAGATTTGACTGTGTGACCAAAAAGGAATACTTTTTTAAAATTTATAAAGATATTTTTTTTATATCACCTCATAAATAAATAATAACCCTTCACTAAACTTTGAACATAATTATAGGAGGAAAATATCTCATACTACAAATATATTTTTTTGGTAAGTGTTCGATTCAGTATGCAATTCTGCCTTTTATCACTATTTTTGGATATTTAAAATTAAAATAAAATTGATGAATATCCAAATTGGGTTTTTGTTTCATATTGCGGGTACTCTTGTTTATTTTTATATTCATCTCTTTTAGTTTCTTCCAGTGTCCTGAAAGAAAGAAATTTCTTTCAGGCAAAACGCAAACCATAATCCCTACTGAAGGGAGAAAAAAAAAATTTTTCTCCCAATTCACACACACACATATATAACTTAATTTTAAAAATAATATCACATTTGATTGAATTGACGTTCAGGAGATACCAATTCTAGTTTCAATAAAAAGGAACAGCTATTTTTTCTCAAGTCATTTGGCATGAATTACAATAGTACTATAAGTACATAGATAATGATTTATTTCGCACTTCTCACGGCAACTGCGGCTACCAAGGCAGCACCACGACCGCTCCCGTCTTCAGACAACATCAACTCAAACTGGAAAAAAACAAAACACACTTTAAGTATAAACTGCATGTAGTGCATCTATCATTACAAAAATAAAATTCCAATTCACTAGTATACAAGACATGATAACACAATACTAGTTAAGGTACCTTTTCGTATATGAAAGTTGACATTGACTATATCCCACTCCCCTCATTGGTGACCTTCGGAAGTGATATGAACACGCCTACCTTGACATAAACTCCCACTTCGATGGATGGTCCACATTGAACAGTAGACTTGTTACTTGTGAGTGCAACATTATCCACCATATTGCACTGCTGCCACTCAGTCTATCACACACAACGAAGGTCTGTTTACATTAGACTCAGGGTTGGCAAGTTTTTGACACATGACGGTTTTTACCGGTTTATACCATCATGTCAAAATCCCCTCTGTCAAAAATGTCGAAAACTGTCAAAAACCCATAGTTTTGTTAAAACTGTATTTTAATTTGAGTTCAACTGCTTATGATTTAAAATTAATTCATTTTTGGGCAATAAAATTAGAAAAAAAGTTGCTAAAAGATATTTAAGAACAGATTTTTGCATTTTCCCAACATGATTATATCAAATCATACTATTTGAAGTAAAATATTAGGATACTAAACAAAATTTTCAACATTTCCAAGCATTATTTTGTTTGGCATAATACATTACTGAAGAATGTCTACTCATTCCTGACTTAGAATTTGTTAGTAGTTACAAGTTTTGAAAGTTTTGTTTAGCTTATTTCTAATATTTAAGAAATGCCAAATTTTAAATTCTTCTTTTTAGTTCTTGAATTTATTAATAGTTTCAAGTTTTTTTTGTTTATTTCTAACAATTAAGATGCGCAAAATTTTGAATCCTTTGCAAATCAAGCTATAATGATAAAAGTTAAGTATCACTATTTTCAATAAGTATGTTACAATATTTCTGTATGAATGTATATCCTTCTATAAGAATACATGTATATAGTTGCAAAATCAATAGCAATCATTTACAACATTCATTTATAAAGAAGGCAATTAAGTGAAAATAACATATTGTCCGCTATATGCCATAAATTAAAGAAAACAGTAGGTTTTTGACGGTTTTTCCCCGGTAAAAACACGGTTTTTACCACTGTCACGTCAAAAACCAGTTTTTGACGGCAAAAACCCAACCCTGATTAGACTGCAAATGGCAACCACGACCGTGAACTTAATACAGCTCTCACAATCAGCTATCGAAAACACGGTGATCTTAATACAGCTCTGCCGGCTTCTTACAAAACTTCAAGTATCAACTAGGGGTATACCGCTCATCAAATTCAATCACAGATAAAATTCTGGTAGGGGAGTATTGTAGTGCATCTACCACTACAAAAATACAATTCCAATTCACTAGTATATAAGACATGTTAAGTCGATTATATGGCGGGGTACCTTTTCATAGATGAAGGTTGACATTGTCGATAACAGCTCTCCCCACACTGCACATTCAATTTCATATTTACGAAAGTGAATTTATTACGTATGTTACTGTCAAAACAATAAATCTGGCTATCATTAATTTAATATTATTGAATAATTGCCAATGATGTATGGTACAGGGCTAATTCAGTGAAACTTCAATCCTAACATAATTTCTAATGATCTATGAGCGGTGATAATCCGTCATTTAAGAGATAAGTAGAATTCAAAGAAATAACAGACTACAAGAAAAACAGATTTATACTTATGTTTAATTTCAAAATGGCTTTAAATGTTCAATTTGCTTTATATCTATTGATGAATGATAGTTTTTGAAATCTTAAATTCATAAATTTTAATATCATTCTACAAATACAGATTTAATAAATTATATAAAATACAAAACAGCATATAGATTAATTTTAAGGCATTTATTTTAGTAAAAATATATCAATAGCAAAGCTTTACATAGATATAAAATTTAACATTCATATCCCCAAAATGGAAACAAAGTCATTATATTTCATAACATATCTTTTGTATTAAGGAGTTTTGTAAATTCATAGATAATCATAATTAATTATTACAGTGATAAAACTTCATTGATAATTAATAATAAACAGTAAATGTGATAACTTTTTATCATCCTGCATTCGAACCACTTAAGATTTTTGATCACAATACTTCAGATTTGAGTTTACATTTCTTTGCTTTTCTGTAAACAGAAAAGATTCAGGATCAGAAGAGTTCAAAGGATTAAGTTTCAGTTCATTAGAAAGGGGAATTTCTTTGAATTTTCTATTTCTTGTTTTTTCTCTCCTTAGAATCATTAAAGAAATTTAGTCTACAACAGTCAGCTTTTGTTTTATATATATATATATATATATATTTTTAAATTAATGGAAGTCAAAACGTTTGAAAACAAGTGAAGCGTTATCTCTATAAAAAATATTAAAACCATTTGATTATCTTTATTTAAGTTATGAGCAATCAAAATCTACAAATGCTATGTCTATAATGGCCTCTATATATAAAATCACTAAAACACTAAAAAAGAAACTGAAAACAAAGTACCTGAAGTATTTTTAAACAGCTTTGCTTAGGAAAATAAATTTATTACTCACTGTCGGTACATTAATATTCATAATTATATTAGCAACATAAAGACAAAATGCGATTTTGAAAAATATGTTTTGAAACTAGGAAATGAGAGGATTTATGATTACAAGAAGACTTGCATGGGGAAAAAAAAAAGTCTAAACTAATTCACATTGGTAAAATTTATATCAAATGTTCTAGGAAAGTTGTGAAACTTACACATAAAGTAGTAAAAGTGATTTAAATTTTTACTTTGCTTTATATATGAATTTGAAAAAAATAAGAAATTAAAATTTTGAGTAATTCTTTATTAATTTAAGAACTAATGTAATTTTGCAGCAACATATTTACAATAAATTTTAAAACTATAAAATCAATAAAACATTTAAAAAATCATATTATAATACTTTGTAAATCTTTAAAAATGGTTTTTTAAAGCATTGGTTTTACAAAAATAAATTAATTAAATAACTTAAATCTACAAACCCTGCTAAAAAGCAGTTTACCAAAGCAAATTTTCATGAAAAATGTATAAAAATCTGTTTAAAATGTTTTCATGTAATTAGTGTTGAAATAAAATAATTATTTTAATGCACTAAAAAAATTGAAGAAAGGAGGTTAAGAGGAAGAATAAGAAGAAAGAAAAAACAATGCAACTAAGTTGTAAGTAGTGAAACTTACTTTAAATGAGGGATCAGTTAATTCATCAATTTTCTTTTCCATAAGCTCTTTAAAATGAGGATGATACCGATAGACTGATCCGTCAACACCAACAGTTGTGTGATTTCGCCTGATTTTATTCAAGATTGTTGACACAGCTGTAAGTAAATACATAGAATTGCTTTTTTTTTTTGGAAAAATAACTTCAAAATTAATCAAGACATCATTAACATTTTAGAAAAAGTAAATTAAATGTTCAGACGCGCCAACCTGGAAATATTAAGATTTGAGAGCTTCCTCAGCAAGAATTCAGGAGATTTCAAGCGGAAGTAAAATAAGTATGATATGAGACATATTTAACACTTTTAATGAAATATTTTAAATAAAAAGTTATATAAATATAGGAATGCAAGACAAAATAAAAGAGAAAAAAAAATTGTCGAAGGAAGCTAACTTCTAATCAAGTATGCAGTTGTAAAAACAGTTCATTTTATCAATTAGGACAGCGGTTTCAAGAGTTAAATTTTACCCCCTGATCCTAAAAAAATTCAAAATGTCCAAGTAGGTAGGTACTTTATTCACGTCGCACTACAGTTGCACAATGCTACAGGCCACAGTCTGGGAAACATCCCTGAGGATGATCCGAAGACATGCCATCACAATTTTGATCCTCTACAGAGGAGGTGGCTCCCTTGCTTTTGTAACTCGATGACCTGCATGAAAAGTCGAGCACTTTACGATAGAACAGTTTGATCCGGACTGATACCGTACACCCTCAGTACTCATCAATGTGGTCACCCACCCGCTCACTGATGATAGTCAGTGATGCTTGACTTTTGTGTTCTACTGGGAACAGTGCTTTTAGGATCAGTCTGGGATCTTACGAATGAAAAGAACAATTACAGAATATGAAAAAGAAAATAACAGAACGCATACATACCAGCAGAGACTAGATGGGCAGCTCTAGAAGATATGGACACGCAGACAGCTTTTAATATTTCACAATCTTCATCGCTTGCATCACTTATTCCCATTTTTTGGAGGACAGTCTGAGTTTCATTGTTTTTACCCCTTGGATCACTAAGTAAGATAGATAAATAACTTGAAATAATGATACAAGAATTTAGAAATACAATTCTAGCAGTAAACGACAAAAACTTTTAAGATATGTGTATTAGCAGGACAGCACTTAATCAAGAGCCTTTCTGTTGTCAGTGGTGAAACCAGAAACTGACAGTGCCCCCGAGGTCCCATAAGGAAAACCAAACAAGAAAAAGCTATTAGAAAAATTGAAATGTAAATGCAAAGAAAAATTAATGACAAACAATCACAATTTAGAAGTACATACAGTAAGACTTAATAATGATACGCTCACATATAAGAAAAATAAAGATTAAGTTACAGTTAGAATAACCAAATAAAAACAAAATACAAATCATTAAGAAAACTTTAGAAATAAATCAAGTGTTGACCCCTTTTTGAAAAATAAAACCAAAAAACACTCAATGAGTAAAAATTCTATAAAAGTGCTGCCATTTATATGCTTCAGGAACAAAAAAAAAGATACATGTTTTCATTTTTCTATGTAAGAATGAAAGGGTTAATTAACCCTGTCTTGCAGATACATTTTTGAATTGCACAATACTTAAAGAGAATGAAATAAATCTATAGTAAAAGCTTCTAAATACCAAATCTGATTATCTTAGATATAAAATCAAATTAGTATATCCAACTAGATTATCAGATTATCTCAAATTCAAAACTGTAAGGTCTATAACTTTAAAATTTAGGTAAAAATTAAACCTATTTTTAAAAATATTTTTCTCTTTTTAAAAATTATAAGTATATTTCTAGCTCTTATTAATATATTTTAGAGAATAAAATTGTCCCAGAGACCATAATAAAAGCTTTATCGGCAAACTTACATTTTCTGGAACTGCAATATCAAAGCACTGCAACTCTTTGATTGCACCTGCCTGATGAATTGTTTCGAGTGTCAGATTTCAAACGAAATGATTTCTTATTCATCAATGAGGATTGAAAAAAAATATATAAACCTTTACTTGATCATTTTTTATCAGTTTATTCTCTATTTTATTCAGCAACTTTTATCTTCATCAAAAAAAAAAAAAAAAAAACATAATCCAGCTAATTGTTTATAATAATTATTATTTTGTATTAATTTGAAATCTGCAGATAGAGTGATAATCTACAGCGCCTGCAGTTAAGAGAGTTTTTGCTTTCGGATGTTCAAGTTACAATTATTCTTCCGCTTTTCTACATGTAGTAAATAGAATAACACGAAATAAGAATAAAGGATTTTATTTTTTAAAATTTTATAACCCTCGTTGGACAGCCGACCCAATTTTTGGGGCTACAACTGCTAATGTTAATCTCCGCAGTCTCATAATTTTGAACCCAAACCAGAAGACAAGGGAACTCCTGGATCAAGTATATTGGGAGAAATTTGCCCTTGTGGAGGACTTATTGATGGAACTAACCAATACCTGTTACATAGAGGACAAAACCACAAAACTTCCCATAGTTAGCCTGATGGCTAGGAGACTAATTCGTGATCTGTTTACCACTGAGAATAATTTACATCTGTACTGCGAGCGATGCAAGCCAGATGCAGAATTTGGATAGACCAGCCATTGTCAGATTCAAAAACTGTTCACCTCATTAGAAGGCGAACGCTTTAAACCCTGAGCCATTAAGGTTCAAGGATAGAGCACAATTAAAATTATATCATAATTAAAAATATAAATAATGCAATATATCTGTCCATTTATTATAAAAATAAATTTTTGGAACAGGTAGCGGGGTCAAACCAGATGGAAACAGGGGCAGTTTTGTGGACTCTTCCTAACATTCAAATTCTATAAAACGGCCCCTTAACAAAATTATATATTGTTTTGTTTTAATATGATAAGAAATTTATTGCAAAAAAAATTATTCCACAAAACTGAAGAGAAAAAACGACCAGAAATGAAATGATAAACTCTAATTCAAAATTCGTGGGTCACAATAGCGTTTCTAAAACATCAAAAAACTTTTGTACCTCGTGGAAAAAAGAGATAAGCATCCATGAATGCTAAATGGTGGCTGCTAAAACTGAATGTTCTTCATTAATTAAAAAATTTAGAAAACTAAATTTGATTTTTCACAAAAATGGACCAAAAAAATTAATCCTTGATCGACCCCAGGATATTGAAGTTATTAATCCATATGGAACAGAAATCCCCACACTTCCCGCAATTCTTAACAAGTGACAAGTTTACTTAAGAGTTCAGCTTAATTAAACTCTTAAAAATGTATTAAAAATACTACACAGATTCACTGTGGCATACACGAAATTTGAATTGGTCGACAAGCAAATATTTAAATGAGTGATTCAGAATTCGCGATATGTTATGAAGTCATAGTAATCATTTAAATTTTAAAAACGTGGAAGCAACAACTGCTAAAGACACTATTGATATAAAATGTCGAATTTATAAGAAAATTAATGAAAATCGACTAAGCCCAATACCATGCATTATGTTGAATATTACCAGAATGTTTAAGTAACATTTTATAACTTAAATAACATAACAAAAACTCAGAAATTAAAATTTCATAATAAATTAATTTTTGTTTCCCTCATCTCAAGAAGGGTATTATATAACTTGAAAATTCTAAATTTCTGATTTAGAATTTCTTCCAACTTTTTTCGAAATTGTGTGTTCTTATGCTTGATTTATTTTAAAATTAACAAAAAGTGGTTGCCAAAGTATTTTGCTATCAGTCTATTCAAAAAAGAAAAAAAGCATTGATAACTATGACATCTTAAGACAACATATTTAGTGAGACATATTAGTATCAAGTCAGATTTGATAACTAATCAACTAAAAAAACAGTGAAAGAAAAATCATAATTTTTAATCAAAAATTTGCCAACAGTTATCATTCTAACAGTCTCTTCGTATTTATAAGAAATGGGTTAGTTAGATAAATGTTATTTTCAAATCAATCCGATAAAATAACTTATGAAAATTATAATAATTGTGTTACAAAGGTAACTAAATTATCATAAAAACCATGGCTAGTATTAGAAACATTTGATAGAAAAGATGACTCACCTTTCTACATTGGAGACATATTTTGTTTTGAATGCATAGGGTGTCTGAAATTTTTCAGAGAGTTTTCCTTTAAACATGAGACCATCTTTTGCTAATTTCACAACAACTCTTCTCACTATCTCTCCCATGTACATTCCTGATATCATTTTTTCAAACCTGGAAGAAAAAAAAAATTTAATACTGTACATAAAATAGAAACTTACATTCCATCAAAATATTTCCATCATTAAATGTATTGTGGCGTTGCAAATAGGTTTGCATTTACTTATCAGCTTTTTATTTTAAATTGAACAATTTTTTTTAGACAAAGAAGAATGTCAACCTTTCATATTATCAAGGGTGATTGCGAGCCCAACTCAAAAATCCTGAAACTTTTTTGAGTAAAAACATTACTGCCGAATTTCACAAAATTATTGTCTTTATAAATTTAAATCATTGATATTTTCACAACATGAAATTCGAAATAAATTACATGTGGCATAATTTAAATTAAAAATAATGTATAGGTTTACTTTTATCTTTAATCACATTTACTATTCTACCAGAAAAAATACTTACAAATGAAAGAGATGCCAAGAATAAATTCTAGTTCTAATATTCTTAAATAAAATATACAAGAATTTCTATACATAAATTTGATCGATGATTTCTTTGAAACTTCTGGGCCTTGAATTTCAAGATCGCAGTTAGAGAAAAATCCGAAAATTTGGATTTTTTTTTCTGGAGCATAACCATTTCTGTATTATGCTTTTTTCTAAAAACGAGATTTTTCTGAAAGATAAATGTGGAAATCTGCTAGCAGGGTTGCCATTCAAGTCTGGAAAAAATATTCCATGTACATATTACAGTGAATTCGCGATAACTCGAATCTGATAGGACTGACGAAAAACTTCGACATATCGGAAGTTCGACTTACCGTTAGTTTAGGTTTTGGACTTTCAAAATATTGTCAGATTATTTAATTAATGCTTATTAATTACAAATCTTTTAAATGTTTACAATATTTAAGATCATTTTTCTGACAAGCCATTTGCGATAAGACTGTTTAAGCTGATACCCTGACAGGGGTGATTGTGAGCCCAAGTCAAAATTCCGGAAAATTTCTTGAGTTAAAAAAAAAAAAACGGTTTAAATTGAAAAATCAGAAAAAAATTTAAACTAGGTTTTTTTCCATTTTCTCAATATTTCTTAGTTTACTTAAAATATATTTAAAATTTTACACATACCTATACCATTTACATATACCCATGATAACCTGGAGAAATAATTAAAATTTACAAATATGTCTTTCTTTCTTGAGTTTATGATTATAACAACTATTTACTGATAAAAAAAATTAATATTAATCATGAATATAAGCCTATAAAGTATCCCTCTGGCTCTCCCTCACAAACAAATAAAATAAACTGTGTTTTTAAGTTCAACCTTTGAAAATTTGATTTCCGGAAACTTCTGTGATCAATAATTTTTTGAAACGTCTGGACCTTCGATCTCCGGAAACTTCCGGATCCCTGTTAGCGAAATATCCGGAAATCCGGATTTTTTCCGGAGCACAATCAGCCCTGTATTTCTGCCCGAATTAAGAAAAAAATAGTAGGGCAATATTGNTTCGAGTAATCGAGAATAATTAACATGAAATAGAAGATAAAGGGGTCGGGACCTCATAAAAAAAAAATCGAGTTATAGTAATATTCGAGTTATAGCGAATTGACTGTATATTAAGGGGAAACACATAATCACTGTGCTATTGAGTGACCTGTATTAGTCTAACTATACCAGTTTTAATTGCTGGAAAAACTTAAAGAAATAAGATACAGATTAACATGCTTAAAATAAATAATGCTATAGTAAATGAAATAGTACAGCTGAAATATCATCCCATAAGATTAAGTTTCAAGTGGTCATCACTTTTAAAATAAGAAATAAAATTTCCTGTATTTTCCCAAACAGTAAGGGAAAACTCAAAATTCCCTGCTAACTTTAAAGTCTGTGAACATTTCCTTTTTCTAACTTCTACAAAACTCTTCCAGTATTTCAAATTGCGATTAATTTTAACGATGTACAATTATGATCAATTTTTATATAAAATATTGTGGAAGCAATTAAATACGTTCTCGTGATATTCTCATGGAATTGAAACTTTTTCAATCAATTTACATGTAAATATGCAGTACAATTTCACTTACACAAATGTTATACTCTTTGACTTAAACACCCCCCCCCCAAATTTTTTTTAAATTATATTAATACTTTAAACTTCTTATGGGTGGTGTTGGCAGGGATGGGGGGGGCAGTGGTACAAGCCCCCTCAATATTTTACAGGGTTGCCTTAATACTTAGAATTCAGTGCTTTCAGTTTTCATTCCATATTCAAAGAATCACCAAAACAGTTATAGTATTATTAAATGCTTAACATCTGATATTTTGTGTTATTTTATTTTATAAGTTATTTACATAAAAATAAAATGCCTTAGTTTGAACAAGGTATATCTTATTCTCTAGCATGTATGTGCATATTTAAGTAATTTTAAGGAAGCACAAAATTTTTATATATTTTCATAATGAAGAAGATTTGAGTCAGAGCAGAAAAATGGGTTAGCAGCTATGTAACTGTATCACAAGCTGGAAAGAAAAAAGAAAATATGAGTATCACAAATTAAAAAGTAACTCACAGCTGTTTTCCTTTGTTTAGAGAACATTCATCTATTTGTCTGTCATATTCTGTTCGGAGGAAATCCAAACACCTGTTGTCACCGAACGCACCCCATTCTGTGTTTATAATGACTTGTTCTGGGCTGTTGTGACCACCAGTCCATGTTTCAACATTTTCTAATCTCTCCATATAACAGGCGTTAGTACCAGTACCTGTCAAAAAGAAGCATAATTACCCCTCTAAGATAGAGATCGATTTAAATCAGATTGTTTTATTTATATCTCAACAAACAACAAGTACTTTTTAAGCACTCAAAATACATTAACAAGGTGCGCAGCCAAATTTTACAACAAAAAATAAGTACTTTTTAAGCACTATATACATTAACAAACTGCGAAATAATTTTCAAAGACTTTACATGATCATGATAAAATAACTAGTTTCTGACAAAGAACGCTTTTTTTTTTAATTATAAGCCATTATAAAAAAATAAAGAGTTTTCTTTCGGTTCCATATCAGAGGGTGGAAAATTAAGCCCGACATTGAAAATATCTTGCAAAATGCAGCAGATTTGCACATAAAAGTGCAATAATCTCATGATTATAAACAATAAAATGATTGGCACTTTCATACGATATGGACAGACGGTGCGTCAAAACAGAATCCAGTTGAATGAATTGTGAGCAAAAAATTCACTTTTTGAAAAGGGAAAATTAAGCACTTTTTAAAAACACCCAATGAAAAAAGCACCTTTAAGGGCTCTTAAAAATGAAAAATCAAAAATTAGCACTTTTTAAAAACGCTAGGCACCATGATTAACAAAATGCAAAATAATTTTCAAAGACTTTACACGATCATTACAAGATAAAGTAACAAGTTTCTGACAAAGAACTCTTTTCTCGATTATATTAGCAAGAAAAATGTTTGGACATGGGGAACTTATAAGCAAGTAGAATTTTCTCTTTACTAATATTTTAAGTGAATACTTTCAATTTACATAGTAAAAACTGTTTTATGCAAAGAAACAATTATTGCGAAGCAGTCATAAGGGGTGGTGAGTGACAGAAAATAGGGGTCTCTTTAGCAATTTATAAAATATGATTTAACAATCTTACCAACAATCAAACCAACACGACAATCTCTGTTTGTATGAGCACAAGACATCAAGGTCCCGGTTGTGTCATTTACAACAGCAACAACATCAATATCCACATTCTAAAAATAAAAACTTTTAATTAGAGGTATAACAGAAAGAAAAAATAAAATAGGTATTTCCAGTATAAGATCATTGGTAAAATAATAAAAAGGAAATAAATAAGATTTTAAAATAATCAAAAACTTTGCTTCATATTTTTACAAGTTTAGAAAGCATATAAATAACAAATTGCATTGAGTTTCCTACGAACAAAGTTACAAGAGAGAGTAAAATAATCAAAATGGGAACTGTTTAATGACGTGTGATTTTTCAGCTAATTCGAGGAATTCCGCAAGTTTCAAAACAATGGATTCACGGACTATTGTGAATAAAAAATTTATATTTTTTGACAATATATTCTTACAGTTCAGCTTATCGAGAATTTAAATTAAATGTAAAATACCCTTAACAGCAACCCTTTTTTTTCCTTCTAGAGTATTAATTCACAATTGATTTCTATTTCTTTTTACACTGATTCATAAGAGCTAAGCATAACTTTAGGGAAATCCTATGGTAAGGTCAACTAGATAACCAAACTTTTAAACTTGATATTTTAAAGCAAACAAATTGTCTTTTTCAAGATAAAAAACTGAAAATTTTGAAATAATAACTTTTAACAAATTAATATCAGTTTTCCATAAGTTATAGCCTGTTAAATGAAGGGCTACATCATTTGAAATTTTTAACCACAGTAAGTAAATGTCTAACTAGTATAGTTTCTTAGAAAAATTCATACTAGTAATAGAAAATGAAATAAATAATAAAAGTAAACTGTATCAAAACAGGTTATCTGACACAAATGTGAAGAACCTTTTCTCATTTTGATTTACAAAAAAATTCCCAAGATGCACTTTTGATTTTTTATTGCAGACAAAAAATTGCATAATTAATTGTACTGTGCTCTAATACTTAACATAATTTTTTTATTGTAAATTAATAATTATTTTTATATTCAACACTGTGCATTTATCTTTATTACATTTGTTTTAATCTATTCCAATCGTATATTTTGCTTTTTCCCTACAAAATGAAGTAAAATACGAATAGAAGCAATATTCTTTCTAGTTAATTTAGAATATAGTATTTCACTTCAATAACCTAATAAAATCTGCTTAACTACAACAAACTTAAAGTTATTAATAGCATGAGAAAAGCAACTCGGGTCTGTACTCAAGATACCGTTCTCCAGTCTAAGCACATGCTGAAGCACATAATGCAGTCAGAAACTAATGCTTAGGCTAAGCACAAGATTATACTAAGGTGTACGAATACTTGCTGAATGGTTTCTAATACAAGCAGAGGCACGGTTAAAGCTTACAGTACAGGGACAAACTGAGTTTTTGCTATCTCTTACACATACATAATCTAGATTATATAATGTCAAACTTAAGAGAAACTTTTGGGACTGTTATAAGTCTAAATTCTGCAAAATTAAATTTATTAAATAAATTTTATATAGAATAAGATTTTACAACCTCAAACCAATGTTAATCAATAATGTAAAAATGTTCCTTCAATTTGATTCGAACAGTATAAGTTACTTATGTGTGCTATTTCTATTTTTCTTAGATGATTGTTTTTGATTGAATGATATGTTTGTTTCTTATCGTCTCCCAAATTTGTAAAAAAATAATAAACCTACATAGGAATCTCAAAATGTACATTTCATTACTGTGACATCCTTTTAAACATGTTAGATTCGTGTAATTCCGTCTTTAATCTACATGGTTTTGTCTTGAATTTTTTTTTCTTCCATCCAATGATTGCAACAGATTTTAAAATTCAGTTTCCTCTTTTTTTAAATGCAATGATGACTTGCAAAATGCAAAAAAAGAGAGGCATGTGAAATTTTGTTTCAAAATAAGAGAATATTGCACATAACTAAAATGTTTTTCCTTTCCTGTGTGGATGGAAAAAAAATAAGGCATAATTTTTTTCTCTCTTTAAATTTTAATTTATTTTCTGCATACAAAAATAAATATAAAATTAAGTTTACGAAAAACACTTCTCATTGAGAAAAAAAAAAGTTTTGTTTGGTAGTGAACTATCAAACCAAAAAGTTTAAGAAATTTTGGATAATTTCCTCTGACTGCAATCACATGTCATGCTAATGAGTTTAAAAAAATAAAAAAATAGAATAACAATTATTTAATATCAAATCATTCAATAAGGTAAATCAATCTTCCCAAAAAGCACTTGATAATTTAAATGAACTTAAGGGGAGCGAAAAGGAAATATTAGAATCTAAAAAATCTTTTTATAAAACTATCAAACCATGTTAACTCATTAATTTTAAAAATGTTGCTAGTAAAATATGCAAATATGTTAAAATAAATTTAAAAAATAAAGCTTTTAATTAATTAAAATGGCAAATGTAAATGCAGTAAATATGAAATGCTTTATAATAAATTTATCAGGATTGCCATTCTAATCTGGAAAAAAAAAATTCCCTGCTCATCTTATATATAATATATTAAGAGGAAAAACACAATCACTGTGCTTTTGCATAAGCAACATTGTTCCAACTATACTAAATTTAATTACTGGAGAAACTTAGAGAAAAAAGGCACAGCTGAACATATTTAAAACAAATAATGCAAATAAACAAATAAATTAAATAGTTTACTATAGATGAAATATCATCCTTATATATCAAATAGATCATGTTTTGAGTGGTTATTTTTTTAAGAGAAGAAAATAACAAAATATCCTATATTTTCTCAGTTTGTAAACAAAAACTCAAAATTCCTTGCATTTACCCTGTTACTTTAGGTAATTTTTAAATTCTTTGTATTTTTTAGATTTTCCCTCTCCTCCTTATGGAGTGGGCCTGTGGCAGAATCATGTAGACATTGTCACAGAACATTACAGAGTTCTTGCAGAAAGATTTCTTATTTGGGAAGAAAGGAAGTTATTTTTTAATCTGCAGAATTTTTGGATAGATTTTTTCTTCTGCAGAACTTCCCCCCCCCCCATTTCTGCAGAATTATTTTAAAAAAAATGCCTTTCTCGCATATCAGAAATGCTCACGATTTTTTCTTTTTACTTTAATTTGAGAATGAAAAAAAAAATGCCGCAATGACCGACTAATATTATTAAAAGTAAATTCCAAATCGATAAAATTAAAAAAAAAAGTTAACTGCATGAATATTTTTTTAAAACAGAATATCGCCAATAATATCAGAATATGGATTCTTTTATACGCAGGGGTCTGTTTAGGTTTTCTGAGAGGTGCCTATTTTGTGAAAATTTAGACATAATTTGTGAAAATTAAAAATTGTATTAAAACATCAACACAAAAATATGGATTTATCGTTCTTACGGGATGCAAAAATAAAATTTTAAGAAAAAGTATTTTGTGAAGCTACTGTTTTTTCTAAAGATGAATTTGTGAAGGCACCGCTAAACGGTAATAAATTTGGCCTGGAAAGACCCTAGATATGCATAGATATAAAAAAATTTTTTTTTACATTCATAATTAAAAAACTTATATACTGTTCTATATAATATAAAGGCTTTTTCTTAAATTTCTTTTTCTTTTTGTGTAAACAGGAAGCTTTTCTGATACTTGAAATTAGTAATATATCTATATATATATTTGCTACTTATTATAAAAGTCTTACAGAAAAGCATCAGCACCTAAAGAGAATTGTCGTAGAAAGATCGGGGAAAAAAATCTGCCACAGGGTGGCGTGGCAACACTGCTTATGTAACCGTTTCCTCTCCGTGAATAGATAAAGTATAATTGGGAACAAATTTTCTGAAGTCCAGTTCACAAAATGAAAAGAACTGATACGATTTAAACATGTGGCAACCACCGTATATTGAAGAGAGAGAAGAAAAATTACCCTTCGCCTTTTGACAGCTTCTCTTAGTAATTGCACCACATCTTCCCCCTTTACACCAGCGCAATTAAATCCTTTGGTCCAGCCAACGAGAATTGCGCTGGTCAAACCTTTCTGTACGCAAGGAAAGCTGAATGTGAATCCAAGGGGTAGTGTTCTGTGAGTCAAACCCAACTGCTCGATGTAATGGGACATACATTCTGCAATATGATCAAACAGCTAAAAATAAAAAATAGTTCTTAGTTTCTCTTTTTTTTTTTTTTTAAAAAAAGAAAACATTATTTACAAAGTATTTATTTCATAAAAGATATCGCTTTACAATTAAAAGAATACACATCAAACTTAAATAATTTAAAAATATAATAAAATATAGTTGCAGTTCATTTACGTCGCACTAGAGCTGCACAATGGGCTATTGGCGACAGTCTGGGAAACATCCCTGAGGANTTGGCGACGGTATGGGAAACATCCCTGAGGATGATCCAAAGACATGCCATCACAATTTCGAACCTCAGCAGAGGGGATGGCACCCCCGATTCGGTAGCCAGACAACCTGCAAGCGAAGTCGAGCACTTTACGGTAGAACAGTTTAACAAGAGCCAATACCGCACACCCTCGGTCCATACGCAGACTGNAAAAAAAGAAAACATTATTTACAAAGTATTTATTTCATAAAAGATAATGCTTTACAATTAAAAGAATACACATCAAACTTAAATAATTTAAAAATATAATAAAATATAGTTGTAGTTCATTTACGTCGCACTAGAGCTGCACAATGGGCTATTGGCGACGGTCTGGGAAACATCCCTGAGGATGACCCGAAGACATGCCATCCCAATTTCGAACCTCAGCAGAGGGGATGGCACCCCCGATTCGGTAGCCAGACGACCTGCAAGCGAAGTCGAGCACTTTACGGTAGAACAGTTTAACAAGAGCCAATACCGCGCACCCTCGGTCCCTACACAGACTGATCAGAGTGACTTCTGTGTCTTACCGATCAGTCCACTGTAGGATTAATAAAATATAGACCAAGATTATGTAACTTATCAGGTATTACTGTAGAAGATGTTTATAATGTAAACCTATAAACAAGAGGTCTTGCATTATATGGAATCTTTCGTAATATAGATCATTCCGCATATTATTCAACTTACCTACTAACAGGGCAATAGATATTAGAGACAGATCAATACTAACTCCTTGCCGGTGTGGCCCAAATCTAGTTCGGGCAACTACTAAGTGCAGTATGTGATGTCGGAACTTATTTCTGGCAGGAGAAAAATTAACATTTCTATTTTGTGAATCCAGAGCTGAGTTAGTCTGTACTTTAGGATACTTAATTCACTATTTTCCTAACAGATGACATTAGTGGACCTAGTTTTTCACTGATTACGGCTTTAGTCCAGGGAGGGAAAATGTGGGTGATGCAACGAGTGTGTATGGGCTTGTGTGCAGTGCGGTGTTTTGGGATATCCGTACTGTAAAAGATTGGTAAAATTTATGTATTGCAAATCATATTGTTGTGTTTTCATAACATTTTATACTAATTAGATTATATTTAGCATCAAAATTTTGTTTAATTTGCTTTAATTGAATAAGATGTGTGTGTAATCCATTACTTTTTTATGCGTAGGTAAAAATTATAAATGCAGTAGTTATTGCATTTAAAATTTTATTTTTGTAAACTTAAAAATGGAAAAATAGATACATAAAGATTAATTATAAAAAGGTTTTTAAATAATTAAGAGCATAAAAAATAAAATACAACAAATTTAGTGCACAATAATGGGATAACTTTATCATACCAACGTAAAAAAAAGAAGTCTTTTTCAGTTCCCCATATAAAATAAACGAATGCAGCAAATACAGAGAAAAAGACTCTGGAAATCATCACCTTTTACAACTGTATGAAATATTGCGTAGATGTGGTAGATCAGATGGCAAGAAAATATTCAGTGAAATCTTGTTCAAAATGCTACCCACTTCATATTTTGACTTAGCAGTCATAAATGCTCGGGTATTATATAAAGATATCATCGATGCTAACATAAATCAGAGAATTTATATTCAAATTATTAGAAAAGTGTTGAGAAGAAAGCATCTCGGTATTCACAAATTATTTCTTAAAAAGGATATAAACCAGTAAAGAATAGTAAGGGTAATGTATGTGTGAAATATGACCGTAGACCATATACTTCAAAATTGGGAAAAATAAGTATGTATCGCAAGTTAAAAAGATTGAGGTATCACATGAGTGAGTGATTTTTTATGATGCTTAGTTATTAATTATATGGTATTCAGGGGTGATTGTGAGTCCAAGTCGAAATTTCGGAAAATGATTGAGTTAAAAAGTTTTTTAAAAAAAAGAACAGTTTGATTGAAAAAAAATTAAACAAGGTTTTTTTTCCTTTTTGTCAATATTTTTTAGTTTACTTAAAAATATTTAAAATTTAACACATACCTATACCATTTACACATACCTGGAGAAGTAATTAAAATTTACAAATATGTCTTTCTTTCTTGAGTTTATGATAATAACAACTATTTACGGATAAAAAATGAAAATTAATCATGAATATGAGCTTATAAAGTATCTCTCTGGCTCTCCCTTACAAACAAATAAAATAAACTGTGTTTTTAAGTTCCACCTTTGAAAATTTGATTTCCGGAAACTTCTGTGATCAATGATTTTTTTAAACGTCTNCTTAGCAGTCATAAATGCTCGGGTATTATATAAAGATATCATCGATGCTAACATAAATCAGAGAATTTATATTCAAATTATTAGAAAAGTGTTGAGAAGAAAGCATCTCGGTATTCACAAATTATTTCTTAAAAAGGATATAAACCAGTAAAGAATAGTAAGGGTAATGTATGTGTGAAATATTCCCAATTTTGAAGTATATGGTCTGCGGTCAAAATAAGTATGTATCGCAAGTTAAAAAGATTGAGGTATCACATGAGTGAGTGATTTTTTATGATGCTTAGTTATTAATTATATGGTATTCAGGGGTGATTGTGAGTCCAAGTCGAAATTCCGGAAAATGATTAAGTTAAAAAGTTTTTAAAAAAAGAACAGTTTAATTGAAAAAAATTTAAACAAGGTTTTTTTCCCTTTTTCTCAATATTTCTTAGTTTACTTAAAAATATTTAAAATTTAACACATACTTATACCATTTACACATACCTGGAGAAGTAATTAAATTTTACAAATATGTCTTTCTTTCTTGAGTTTACGATAATAACAACTATTTACTGATAAAAAATGAAAATTAATCATGAATATGAGCTTACAAAGTATCTCTCTGGCTCTCCCTTACAAACAAATAAAATAAACTGTGTTTTTAAGTTCCACCTTTGAAAATTTGATTTCCGGAAACTTCTGTGATCAATGATTTTTTTAAACACCTGGACCTTTGATCTCCAGAAACTACCGGAGCACAATCAGCCCTGGGTATTGTATCCTACTTACAAATTGAATAGATATTAGCCCAAAAGTCTTTTTAACATGTTAAAAAAAAAAGTGTTAAAATGCACAAAATCATATTTTTAGTAAGGCATTTATCAATTAACAAAATCAATTTATTTAAAATAAACAAGTAAAATTAAACTTATTAAATTATGATTTGTATAAATATTAATATGAAAAAAAGCAATTTTTTGAGTAATAACATGCCTTCACGGTCAAATTTTTCTCACTGAGACCTGTCGGGGAAAAAAAAAAAAAAACTCAACGATTTGTATTACCGAGCTCCAGGTCTTTCTTTTCTCTAAAAAAAAAAAAATATTTTTTTAAAAAAAATTAGCATTTTAAAATTACCTCAAAAAATTTTCTAATTTGAAATAACAAACAAAGGCCCCTATGAAATAAAATTACATTTAGAAATAAAAGTACATACTTGTTCCCCAGACCCCAGCATGATAGATTGTGGAATTTCATATATTTCATTCATCATATTGAACTGTTCACCATCTAAGTCGATACACAATACCCGGAAATTGGTACCACCCAAGTCCAGTGCCAAAAATTTACCTTGCTCTGAAAAGGAAACATACATATATATTACTCCAAAAAAGAAATACAAATTCCATATTACTAATAAATGTTTTTGGCCATTTTTCATAGCATTGTTGGCTATTAAAATGTGCCATTCAATAACTTGCTTCAAATGAAAAAAGGTATATTTCAACAAAATATAAGTAACTAAATATGGATATACAAAATGCACATTTCAATTGGACATATAAAAAAAGGGATATATACAACTAGAATAATCAGTTCATGGTTAAAATAATATATATATACATATATATTTGAATCCCTTTAATTTTAAAAATAATTCACAAAAAAAAGCTTCATTTTTTTATGTATAAATAAAACTGATTGAAAATAAAAAGCATTAAATATAAAAATGAGCATGAAAATATGTTTATTTGCAATCTGCATATGGAAATACAGGAAAAAAAAGTAGTGCAAAAAATCAATTAATACCATAAAATATATAACTATGATTGGTGAGCACAAAAAACAAGGTAAATGTCTCATTTTATCTTATAGCGGCGGTTTTCAGTTTTTTCCACCAACTAAATTTCATATTATCCACCTTTTAGCATAACCTCTCCCCCCAATTTCATAAATTATTAAACCATAGAGATAATTGAGTCATTCATAAAAGCAATAAAAATACAAAAGTGAAAAATGAATTTTTTCTTACAATCGATCATCTTTTAAAAATAGAAATTGCCAGGTAGTTGAATTAGTAGGTCTGGTAATTCGTAGGCTAGAATTACTGTTTTTAACTGTTAGTGTTTGAATACTGTTTCTGTTTACTACTACCATTAAATTGTTTGCAAAATAACTTTTATAAATGGGGAGGATGGTTATCAAGAAAATTTGAATTAAACAGTGTGAAGATAAATATAAATGAAATTTATAATTTTCATAATTTATTCTTGAATTATTATTAGAATAAACTTAATTTTTTTTTAAATTTCGTAATTCTCTTCCCATTGGCACTTTACTAAAATTTCTTAACCAAAAGACTATTAAATAAACAATGAATTATTTATAAGATATAATTATAATCACAGTTTTCAAAAATCTTAACTGGTTAAAAAAAAGTCCCGACACTAGAAGCCTCTGTGAACTTTTCTCGAAACCTTTAGGTTTCATTGTACACTTTTTGGGAACTGCTGCCGAATAATTTGATTGTCTAACCAATGTTTTTCAAACTGGAAGGGGTTTTTTTCTTCTTGAGAAATCACATCTCTAATTTTAACAATTAAAAATTGGAACCTGTTGTTTGAAAGGGAAGAATAAATAACGGTTGAGGAAAGTGTTTTATTTACCTGATCCATTAGGCACATCTCTTACGAAAGTAGGAAACATTTTAACGGATGCAGAGGCATGAGTGTTGGCTCCCAAACCATTGTTGAACTCTTGCAAAAGTAAGGCAGATACTTTTAAAAGAACATCATTGGACAAAGTAAACTCTTTTAAAACTGCATCAACCAAACTCTAGAAAAATGACACCACACTTCAAAATAGATTATTTATACAAACCAGATTTTTTCAACAAAAAAAAGCACCTTTTAAGCACTCAAAAAATATTTTTAATCACTTCTCAAAAAAATAAAAAAAAATCATAATCAGGATATGTGCAGCAATAAAAATTATTTCTTCCTATAATTTAAAGTTCATTTATATACACATAAACTCAACAAAATGCAAAAATATTTTCAAAGACTTTAGTTGACATCTACGCCAACTGAAACTAGTAATGAATTTTATAAAGTTTAAGCAATATCCTTGCATTTGGCACCATTTTAAAGGATAGGTATTTATTGCAATTTATGAATTCAGAAGTTATTTTTAGGAATTATAGTAAAATTTATCATAGACAGCATTCATGATTTTGACTTATTCAGTCAAAAAAAAAAAAANAAAAAAAAAAAAAAAAAAAAAAAAAAAAAAAAAAAAAAAAAATTCTATTTTAAAGAAGATTAAGTTATTGTTTGATTTTTATTGTAAAATAAATTTTACCAGAGTCTAATCAAGCAGTGATTTGTGTCAAAAAATTTTACATTTCACGTGCTAATTCTCAAATCTCTTCTGAATTTCCTAGATAAGCGTGCAATAGTTTATTGAAACATGACGCTCAAAATGATTCTAAATTTGATAAACAGAAAACTTGTTTTTAATGCAGTGTAGCTGGACATATTTCACGTACATGTCTCGATAAACAAGGTTTAAGATGTAAAAATTTTGTAATATTACATCCAAATGTAAAGAAACTTAATTCTAACAGTTCAGAAAACACTGACTACTCATTTACATTCTACAATATATAAAACCGTGTACATTAATACTTCATTTGATGCTTTTATTGATATCAGAGCTGTAAAAACAAATTTAAGAGAAACATATCACAAAATAAGTTTGCCTTCTTTTAATGCTACACCAGCAATGTTTGGTAATGGATATGCTAAACCAATAGATACTTTTTATGAATTTACGATTGATGGTCCACTCGTGGCAGAATCGCTGCGACATTGTCCCAGAAAATTGCAAAGTTCTTGCAGAACGATTTTTCTTTTGAAAAGTAAAAAATTTTACTCTCCTTTACTACATAAATGTATTTGCAATATTTGAACATTTAGATAATCACTTTTTGACGCGCTCAATTGACACTGACAGTATCGTAAACCGATGCAATGTTCCAATTGTATATTTTCGGCAGTTACTGATATTGATTTTCACATGTTTTTTAAATATCCCTATATATTTCAAACAATATGAAAAATTCGAATCGTGCATTCGATTATTTACTTTTTAAAGCAATAATTCTATCGAATTTTTGGCAGTTATTGCTATTGATTTCTCCACAGTTTTTAAATCCGATATTTTTATTACGACATTATTTATTTCAATATTATTTATTACAACAACTTAATCTCGAATTGAAACACGCAATTGATTAGTCCGATTCGCGTGATTTCGCTGGCGATCTGTTTTTTTGTCAACTACTACAATGGATTTTGTGATTATTAATGATTTGTTTTATTGTGACGATTATTTACAAAATGCGAAAAGGAAATAATTTGTGTCCTCCCCCCAACAAAGTGCGAGAATATCACCCATAATATTCGAATTAAAAATTATTATATGTTCAATTTAAAAAAATTACAGTATATTTTTTTCCTTTTGTAAATGCAGCGCTTTTGTTATTTTAAATTAAGGCCTGTTTAGACGATCCAATTTCTTGGACAGAGATTGATTGATATTGATGGAAACTTGTTTTGCTTTGAGCTTTGATCGTGTAAACAAACATCCAAGAACTTGGTCCAATTTCTTGGACTATAGTAGAGCATGTTCTACTTTCCATCCAAGTTTTTTTCTCCCTTAACCAATCAGTGTCATAGGTTTCGTGACGTTAACAATCAGGCAGCAAATTATGTCATCTTCTTGTCTGTTTTCATATATTTTAGTTCAAATAAATTGATCTGTTGCGATTTATTTGTGTTACTATGATTTTATTTGAATTTATTTAGTAATTTTAAACTTATGTAAGTATTATTTTAAAATGTTGAATATGCGCAAGTTTTTCTTTCAACGAATCAGCGACATTCAAGAACTTGGATAGTGTCAACGAATCATCCAATTTCTTGGACAGAGAAATCCGTCCAATTTCTCGGATTCAAGAAATTGGACCGTGCAAACAGGCCTTTAGTAAGACATATGTTTGTTATTATTGAAAGTATCTTGCAGAAAGACATTAGGTAGTATTAGAGAGTTTTGTCGCAGATAGCTAGAAAAAATTCTGCCATAGGGATGATCAACAATTTATTGCTAAATTTTGCATTGTTAAAAATGATGTCATAATTGGTATAGATATTTTAACTCAGGCAAAAATAAAAATAAATACAGATGGTGTTTTGTTAACGAAAAGTTTAGTTTATGAAACTAAATCCATCTAGGGCCATCCCATTGTGACGGGTGCGACATTCAGACACAGTTTTTTGACGTTAAATCTGCATTTCAGGAAATTAAATAGTTAATAAATACCAACAAAGTTTTTAATCATGTTTAACGTTGCATTTGCTTGAATAATTGAGTTCAAATAAAACTGCAAGAATTTTCGATTTTCTGCTGTAAAAAATTTTTTTAATCTTGTGACGGGTGTGACTCTTTTGGGATAAAATCCTGTGAACATCGAAATGCGTTATCGTTATACCAATTTTTTTCTTAAAGACATTCAGATGGGAACTTAATACATGTTTTTTTTATGAGTAGTTGTAATATTTTTAACATGCAGGAATTTTCTTTCTAATGTGATGGGTGTGACATTGTGCAAATTACCAAATTTTCGATTTCTAAAATTTCCATTTAAGATTATTTTGAGTTAGAATTTGGATTAAATGCTACTCAAACACAAAAGAAACTTCTTCTAGACATGGTTTCCAATTATAAACATAATAAAACTAGAACCAGTAATATTCAAATGTCAATTTTAAAAAAATGAAACACCAATAGTTCATAGACCTTGTAGATTGCCTTTTCCTGAAGGTAAAATTGTTGATGATCTAGTAACAAAATGGTTGGTAGATTACTGAGTCTTCGGAATATTCCAATCAGATCGTAGTAGTAAAAAAGTAAGACGGTACCCCAAGAGTTTGCATTGATTATAGGGCGTTAAATAAAAACAAAGTTAAGGATAATTACCCATTAAATTCGAACATTATTCTAAACATTTGAGCATTGAGCTAAATTTATTCTAACAGACCTTAATTTTTTTTATGAAACATCTTTTTCTCTGTGAAACTTTTTTTTAAATGAGCTAATGAGAAATGTTCTTATAATAAAAATAACTTTTAGTGCAAGTACTGTTATAAGAATGTTTTTTTTCTTCTTTTTTTAATTAAAGTTGAAATTTAACAATTGACTTTGATGGATTTTTAAATTTGGATGCAATATTTAGCCCAATATTTTACAATATCAAAATTATTTTTGAATATATAGGAGAAAATATATAAAAATTTATCAGACATAAATGATTTTTATTTGTAATGACAATTTTTGATCTTACTTTACCATATTTTTGTGTTGATTTTTTATTAATTTTTAATTTTCACAAATTATGTCTAAATTTTCTCAAAATAGATACCTTTCATAAAAGCCTAGAGAGACCCCTGGTATTACAAAATAATAGAGATCAAAATATATTGTTATAGTAATTATAAATTAAATTAAATTTAAGATCTCCCTTATTAACTAAAAGAATTTAATACTTCTGCACTGCACAAAATAAACAATTCTAGAAAATAAAACAGATAAGTCAAAAATATCTGCTACAGATGATAAAGATAAGATTATTAAGTGGTGTTCTAAAAGCTATTAAAAGCTTCCAAAAGCTATCAAAAGATCACTTTAGATAAGAGGTGCGAAAATAATTATTTAAAGGATAACATTTTAAAGACACACAGCTGTGAAATGATAAGATACATAAAAGAAAAGTTATGTAGGTGAATATCACATTTTTGTTCTTCAAATAACTTCAAAAATAAGCTTTATAACTTAAGTGAGAAAATGAAATAATATTTAAAAATAAAGAATAAATGTCAACTTTATAAATTTTGAATTTAAATTAACAGAATTGCAAGAATTATTTAAAATTTCAATGTTTTTAACTCGAACACTTTATGAATAGATTATAAATGGAGAAACAATGTTAAGTGCTAACATTTAAATGTAAACTTAGAAATCTATAATTTGTATAGTAAATGTAAATAAAAATTTTCAATGCTTTCACACTAAATATATTATCAATATATAACAAATTGGAAAATCTTGGTTAGGCGAAAATATTTAAGTTAGTTACAAATCTTTTAATTCATAATAATACAAATAAACCTTTCTATGTCTCTACTTTAAACAATCAATAAATTTTTGAATCGGGAAACATTAATTGATCTTATACATTTGAATATAAACTTACATATCTAAATAAAAAGCTAAGTGTAAATAGAAATTTTAAGTCTTTACATCAAATATTTTATCAATATATTATAAATGGGAAAATATTGGCTTGGCGTAGTAAGCGAAAGAAAAATTTGTCTCTTTTTACGAAGACCATGTCGAAATTTAGTATGCAACTGCGAAAACTATTTCATCAGAAAAATACAGCAGACAAACACTCAGGTGTCATAAAGTAAAGAGATAGTCAATAAAAATTTAATTAAATAAAACTAACCTTTTTACGGCATTCTGTCATGGTTTTAAAACTATGATGAATTGAACAGAGAATAATGTGAAGACGAAGGACTAATGTCCACACACTTTAAAGGAAGGTAGAATGTTTCCCAATGTCCTTTAAGCTGTCCTGTATGAAAGTGAAAGTAGTTTTCAAGCTTCTTGTTGCCACCTACAATTCATTTTTTTGGAAATTAGACAAAAAATCAAGGTTACATAGTTTTGAGTCTTATCTTATAGAGCAAATATATTAGTGAAAATGAAACTCAATTGAAAGTTATTAATTTGATACTATCTGGATTTTAGCAGCTGACTGTTCTCTTAACTGGCCCTTCCCAAAAAGCAATTAACCTTACAGCAACCTTGCGTCAGAATATTCTTATTATTGTCACAAAAATGTTCGCGCTAAAAACCTTTTTCCAATAAAGTAAAAATATAGCAATTTCGAACCTTTCATCCTAAAAGAACAAAAAATGATTTTTAAAACTTTTTTTAAAAACAGTTTTTGATAAACAGATATAAATACCGAAAAGCTTTTTTTTCTTTCAAGGAAACAAAACAATGAAAATGCAAACCTTTCCCGTAAAAATATTAATCAATAATGAAAAAAATATTATGTAAAAAAACCTCACGCAAGGGAAAGTGAATTAACCAACATAATAGTACCTAATTTTTTATTGTTTTCTAAGGATCCGTGAAACTACTATACGAAAATCTTCTTTTAAGGTTTTCAAATGGTTACCGATTGAATTTAAAAAGTAAGGGAAATATTTCTTGTCGATTAGCTTTTTATACTGGATACAGCTCAAACTGCGAGTTTAAGAAAATGGACACAAATAAAAAAAAGCGTGTTTAAGAAAATGAATGAGGTATTTGATTATATTTTTGAAACTTCTCTTATTAAAATTGTTCTTTTTCTAAAGAATAAAACTATTGACAAACAAATAAATTGGTAATGTGATATCGTTCATTTTCCTAAATCATCTGGTACATTTTTTTTTAAAGAAACTAGTATATCAAAAATGGTTTTTACAAGGTTGTTACTGATTCAATAAATTGATAATATGTACTAACATTTTTGTTGTAAGAATTTTTATTTTTAAAAATGATTATGGTTTCAGTGTTTAAATAAGTAAAGAAATGTAAGCCTGCAGTTCCTCGTTTACTAATTAAATTTGGGTTAACAACTAAACGGGAGCATATTTTGCTGTGTCCATTTTCTTAAACATTCATTTCCGTCTGCGTCTTTTTTTAAAAGCGTATTTTGAGCTGCGTTCATTTTCTTAAACATATATGTTTCGCAGCTCAACGTCAATTAAACTACTGGCTATAAAATGATGAATCCTAAGAAGAGGATAACTGATAAAATAAAAACTTAATTTGCCAAATTTTTTCTTTGTTGAAATACGCAGTTTGAGCAGCGTCCACTTTCCTATACACGCATTTTGAGCTGTGTTCAATTTTCTTAAGCACGCGTTTTGAGTTAAATCTAATTTTCTTAAACGCGCATTTTGAACTGTATCCAAATTTCTTAACCACACATTTATAGCTGCGTTTAATTTCTTAAAAAAAATCATTTTGAGTTGTGTCCATTTTCTTAAATATGCATATTGAGTTGTGCCCAATTTTTCTAAACACCCTTTTCGAACAGTATTGAATTTTCTTAAACACGCATTTATAGCTGCGTCTAACTTTTTTAAATATCATTTTGAGCTAATCTCGAATAAAAAGCTCAACGAAGCTTTTCTTGTTTGTTGGCGCCAATGCTGCAGATTACTTGACACGATTTCGTCACTCGCCAACTATAAGTTTCAGTTTTAAATTCGTTTTTTCTAACAAGCACTGCTACGGACTTGTTTTAGCAAAAAAAAAAAAAGGAAGTTTTTTTGCTAAGTTTAAAATTACTGCTCTCTTTGATTGTTTGGTAGCTTTATATAGGCAAAAAGGGGCCATAAAAGCTAAAATACGAATCTTGAAAAATTAATGAATTAAATGAACATGGAAAAGTGTTGTTACTTTGTAATCAGGATTGCAGGTAATTTTCTATTTTTATCACATGCATAAATTGTAAAACTAAATAGATTCTGTAATTTATAGTTCGCAAAAAAAAAAAAAAAAAAAAAAAAAAAAAAAAAAAAGAAAGAAAGAAAGAAAGAATCTGAATAACTTTTCATCTAATGATCGGTTTTTAACGTACCAGAATTCAATCATAATCTCATTACTCAAAAACGCATATTAAAAACTCGACTTCTAAAGAACTATTCGTCCAATTTTGTTCAAAATTTGTATTTTACAATATTAAAATTGTATTTTTTAAAATGATATAAGAATTTCTTTACCTCATAATTCCATAATTTATTAAAAATTATCTTTTTCATGGAATTAATTTCAGGTAACAGATGTTATAGTTGTGAGTTAAAATCTTTAAATTCGCTTAAAAAGTTCTCGAGGGCAAACTACGCCGAAAGTTAAATAAGCTTTAAAAGATACAAATTTCCAATCGCTATCCTAACCAAACTATTGGGACCATATTTCCAGATTGCGGCATAATATATATATGAACGGACATTCAATATACGCAAGTGCGTACACAAAAGTTTCCTTTTATTTTTCAAAGAAAGTAGAATGTTTGACGTGGATGCAAATTTATTTGAAAATTCGCTGATTCATTTCATTCATCCAAGGGTGGCCAACCAGCGACTCAAATATTGACCAATTCAAATATTTATTTATTAAATATTTGAGTTACCGTGCAATTATTTAATGTATCTTTATAACATTCAAAAATTGTCCCGAATCTATGAAATACAATGTCAAAGTTTAAATTGAAAAAAAAAAAAGACTACAAATTAACCCGTTTGTGCCAGGCAGACGGGGAATTTTTTTTAATATTAAAAAAAGTAAAAAGTGGTAGCAAAAGAGATTTATTATTAACTTTTTAAAAAAACAGGACAATATTGTTTACCTTGACATAATAAAAATGTTTGCATTTGAATCTAAAGTCAAAGTCACAAAAAACAATACCTTTTTAAAGCTAGATAGGTATGAAACAGAAAGAAATATCCACTTGGTTTACGGACACATTCTCTACTATTGGTTGGTTGTACAAATAAGTTCCCGCCGTTCGTCACGAGATGGCACTCCGCAGTTGCATTACGTAATTGTTTTCGTGCAAAAATGTCAAGCTTTGTGCCAAATAAGCGTCAATTGCTGGAACTTTTGATTTACTTCTTTAATTTAAAGAAATCTGCAGCGGAGGTGCCTCGATTGCTTAGAGAAGCATATGGTAAGGCTGCTTTAACCCTTTCGCGTCGACTGTCAGAAATATGTGCCAGCATAAAACCGTATCAATCAGGGTAAAAAGATAAAATTGGTAACCAAAGTGGTTCTTTAGCAGCTTATTTGTGGGAGGGGTTATAATTGCTTGATTTATTTAATTCACCATTACTTTAGTTCAAAATCAAATTATTCAGTTATACTTTGAACTAACATTGATTATATACACCGAAGAGCCATTACATTATGACCACCCTGCTAATAACATGTAGGACCACCTTTAGCTCTCAAAACTGCTAGCACCCGCCGTGGCTTTGATTCCACAAGGTGCTGATAGGTAGTCTTAGGTATTTGGTACCAAGCGCTCACCAACTGGTCCTGCAATTCCCTCACATTGCGAGGGGGTAGCGTGGCAGCACGAATTTGGTTTTCCAAGTAGGACCACAAATGCTCTATTGGATTAAGGTCAGGTGAATTTGGGGGCCAAGACAT